AAAACTGGAATTACAGGCATGTGTCACCATGCCCAGCTACATTTCTTTTCTTTTTATGACTTCTTATGTTGGTTTTTTTGTTTTGTTTTGTTTTATTTTTTTAACCAAGGCTTGAACTCGGGTCCTTATTCTTGCCAGGCAGACACTTATGACATTGAGCTAGCCCCCTTGCCCATGGCTTCTTATGCTTTAAGAAATCCTTGCCTCAAGCAATACAAAGGACTCAGTCTCAGAGCAGAGGTCACAAATGGAGCCAGGTTCCAGGGAAGGTAGCGGCAAGCACTGTTATACCTATCAAGGCATTATCTTAACAATGTGGGGCAGCCGTGACTAGCCAGCACAAGTGACCAGCTGGCTGGATGGCAGGTGTGTTCTGGTTATAGAACTAGATATATCATGCTATTAGAGCTGGGTGCCATTGAAAATTCTAATCATAGACTGTAATTAACTTTCCTTGCTCTAACGCCCGCTCACTAAGCAACCTTCTGATTATAATTTGGCATCCCATGTACCTTGCCTACAGGGAGAGAATGTACCGAGAATGTACTGTTCAGGCTGACGTGAGGATCCAATCCATTAAACAGTTACATGCCATGATGTAAATTAATAAATTCGTATTCTGATTATATCATCCGCCTCATTGGGGCTCTGAAGGCGTGAGTCAGCATCCCCAGAACTAATCAACATGGACAAAGAGAATATCAAGCCTCTGGGCTGAAAACCTCAAATCTAGACCCAAAACAGAGTGAAATCACTGAGGTAACATTGCCCTGGAGGCCCCTGGGCCTGATGAAGAAGGCCGTGCTACATGCATGTGATCTGGACAGGGCTTACAATTGACTTTTGACATTATCAAGAGTTGCATATTCAAACCCAGCGCTTGGTTCCATTCAGGTGAAGGCAAAGAATAGAGCATGATCATGAGACTCGTACTGAATATTTATTGGTTTATAAGCACACACCAGATGCTGCACAAATCCTAGGCAGAAGGTTAAGATTTATAGACATCCCTGAAAAAAGAAAAAAAAAAAAAAGGACAGATGGTAGGTGCTGAGGAGAAATGGTGGAAAGAATATCTGACTGATGAATTATTAGAGTCCAAG